GTCAACAGATGAACAACGAAATTCACTAGCTTTTATTTACAAGTGCTGCTATCTTCACGTTGAGGTCGGAAACTTTTCAGACCACCCTCGTATTTGTATGTCATACTACTTCTATGGAAATAAACACTCCTCTCATTTACAGTTCCCTTACAGAAATATCATACTAAGAAATCCTGAAAAATTATGAGTGATTAAATATTACCAGTAATTCAGTAATTTTTTGGCCAGTATTTAATTTCTAGTAAATACTGATTATTGTGCGAAGGTGAAAAATGAGGAAATCATAATATTTAAAAAAGTATACCTATATATTTCTAATTTTCTCATGTCTTATAAACCACTAGGTATCGAAGGTTGTCAACATACTCTAAACTTTCGTGAATCCTCCGTCGTCAATTTCGATTCCAAGCAGTATACTACCGGTCACCATTCATGGTGCTCCGTTAAAGTGCTTAACCTGACGATCGAGCGATACGTGGCGATTTCCGATAACTCCACGATATTCTTGCGATTTATGCTTATATAATGTATCCTTATAGTGTTCACAGTATATTATAACATACTTAGCAAACACCAAGTAATAGTTATAAAATTTTTACTTGGTGTTTGCTGGATAATTTGCTGATAGATATTGAAACAATGCAACAACATTCGATATACGATGAATATTGATGTAATGTAGTGAGCCAGTGATAATTATTTTTAAATTTTTAACAGAATGTTATAATGATTAATCCAAACAAAAAAAAATTTTTAAATCCAAGAAAATTCAAATTTAAGAAAAATAAATCGAATTACTAAATCTTGAAAGAAACTTTTAAAAAATACTATTTAAAACAATAATGTTGTTTCATGAAATGACATGGTTTTGATGAACGAAATAAATTTTTTTCATCATTTAAAAAAATGATATTTCGTTTAAGAATATAATATTTTAATGAAACAAAAAAAAACACAAAATTAAACAAGTACCAATATTAAATCTACAGAAAGTGTTTCTCTGAAAAACGGTATAAAAAGTATAAGAAATATTTGAAATACAAGTAACAAAAATAATTAGTAAATAAATAAAAAATATTATATTGCATTCGTAATATTTTTTAAATATTGCTGAAATATTGTTAAAGTAATATTGCAAATTAACCCTTTGGGGACGAGTGTCGGCATATAGCCGCCCAAGCCGTTTTACCGTTCCGGACGCGTGTCGGCATATAGCCGCCCAAATTAGTTCGTAGCTGCAAGGCTCGCGACGTCTGTCGTTCTGAGCGATAAGATACGCATAGGTATAGTAAAAGAGTCACGTTTTCATTCAAAGACATTAGGGGCCATTAGCGATGAAGTCTTATCTTCCTTATAGCCCGTCGAGCGGCTCCGTCCCCAAAGGGTTAATATCACTACAAGGTCTCTGCAACATTGCACTGCAATATGCAAATCTTGCAACGTTGCCCTTATAGAAATATCATACTAAGAATCATTGATAATTACTTATTATCCAGTATTTTTAATACTGAAAATAATTAATTATCAATGATTCTTAGTATGATATTTCTATAAGGGTGTAGCAATGTTGCTGCAAGCTTCTGTGCTGTATGGGCATTGCTGAGATTCGCGAACCTAAAATTTCTGGTTCTTAAATCGGACACCTTACCTACTGCACCACTGTCATTTTGACTGAGAGACGCTTCATATTGTATATATATCCTTATAGAAAAGTATCACTGGCTGTGATAAATTGGCCAGTAATAAATAGTAATTTTATTACTCGTACGAGTAACAAAATTATTAAACGACAGTAATTATCATTGGCCAAATTATCACTTATCAGTATTAAATTTTTATAAGGGTATGATATATCCATGTATAAAAAAATATGATTTATTTAAAAGAAGAGAATATAGATCCTTTTAAATGTAAAAAGTATGTTTTTAAAAAGTATATTTAAAATATATTTACTTGTCTTAAAAGTAAATAAAATATAAATAAATTATTTTGTAAATTTAAATAAATTATTTTTTGATAATAAAAAAACTTTAATTTGAAATACAAAACAGTTACTTTTAATATTAAAAAATAATTTATTTAGATTTATAAAATAATTTACTTGTATTTTATTTACTTTTAAAACAAGCAAATATTTATTTAAATACATTTTTACATTAAAAAAAAAACTAATTTTCTTGTAAGGAAATCATTTGCTTATTCTTATATATAGATATTTTAAATCAAAGAAATCATTTTTTATCTAGAAACTTATAACTTTACAGCTGATTTTAAAAATTTAAAAAAACATTACTTTATATGTAATATATATTTTCTAAAATCTAACAAATATTTCTTTTATTTAAGAAATTTTATTCAACAAAATATATTTCTTTGATTAAAAGAATTGTTTTTAGTGTGTATATACCCATACAGCACAGCAACGTTGCAGCATCATTGTTTTGCAATATTGTGACATTGCAACAATGTTGCAAAATGTTGCCGCAATGCTACTGCAACGTTGCAACAATGGTAAAATGTCCGCTTGCGGCAATATAACAACGCAACTGTGCAGCAACATTGCAATGCAATATATATGTAATATTATTAATATGTTTTATTATACAAAGTAAAATCCCAGATAACACTCTTACAGGAATATTATACTAATAAATACTAAAAAATTATTAGTGATTATGTATTACTAGTAATTCAGTAATTTTTTCGTTAGTACTTAATTTCTGGTGAATATTGATAATAAAATCACTATTAAATATTGATAGTAATCAAATACTGAGAATTATTGTGCGAATGTGAAAAATGAGAAAATCATAATATTTAAAAAAATATATTTATAATACCTAATTTTCTTATGTCTCATAAACTACCAAGTATCGAAGATTGTCAATACACAACTCCAAACTTTCGTGAATCTTCCCTCGATAATTTCGATCCCAAGTGGTATACCACCCGTCACCCTATCATCTATGTCCTGACTCCGTTAAAGTGTTGCTTAACCTGACAATCGTACGGCACGCGGCGATTCCCAATGAGTCCAACGATATTCTTACGATTTGTGTTTATATAATTTATCCTTATACCCTTATAGAAATATCATACTAAGAATCATTGATAATTACTTATTATCCAGTATTTTTAATACTGAAAATAAGTAATTATCAATGAT